AGCTTCCGGCCCTGGCCGGGCGCCGGGGGCTGCAGCTGCCAGTTCTGCTTCCTCAGGGGCTGAGCCCGACGAGGCCCAGTTTGGTGATTCCCTGGTGGGGTCTGGCGCAGGGCTTTGGCGCTTCAGTGAAGGTTGCAAAGTGGGCTTTTTCTATGGTAGTGGGAACGGCTGCAAGAAGAAGGGGCTTAGGACTGGTGCTTCAGCCCCATCTCGCTCTACAAGGCAGTGAAGATAGCACTCGTTTTCCATCTTGTTCATTGCGAAGTCTCTTGCAGGATGCTCTTAGTGTCACTAAGTGCGCGGCACCATCCCTGAACCTTACAGGTTGCCTGAAAACGCTCTTAAGCTTCTTTGAGTGCCTTTTGTTTGTCTATAGCAGTATGTCACATGTAGTTATGATATAATATGTAGCACTCCTCAGATATTTGTTTTGTCCCCTTTGAAACATCATGGCAGCATTTCCTACTTCATTAGTGCCAACCATCGGGCCAAATGGACTATAAAGAACCAATCTAGGGCTGTAGGTGACCTAATCAGTGTGTATCCAGCTGGTGACAGGATATAAACAAATATTAACAGTATCTCTTTTCTGTTATGGTAGGATATGATGTGCATGGCCAAAGTGTACCTACCCTGTCAGCATCATGGGCACATATCATACATTATGCTGGGGAGACATGGGTACATTAACTTGAAATGAGCAGTACAGCTGACCGTTTTCTAGGTAAAGGTAGATGCTTATGGTTTTGTTCATGTGGCAGATTAGTACCGTGTATCAGAGAAGGGCGGAGGTTGGAAGGGACCTCTGGAGATCATCTAGTCCAACCTCCCTGCTCAAGCAGGGTCATCTAGAGCATGTTGCCCAGGATCACCTCCGGGCGGGTTTTGAATATCTCCAGGGAACCTCTCTTGAACAACCTGTTCCAAATGATGTTCCATGTATGATGAAGGAAGGACTAGTCTTGGAAAAAACATGACAGAGAGTAGGCCAGGGGCTAGGTTACTTATTATAAGAGTCTATCGGTTGGCCAGCAAGATTAGATCATGCCCAGCAATTATCAAAAGCGCTTATTTTTCAAATGTTCATATAAAGCATAATCCTAAGGTCTTTCCAGGAGAGAAAAAAGTTTAATGTGAAGTCCAGTAAAGCAGAACTAGAGAACTCAATCTTGCTGTTGCTCATGAGTAAGAAAACTCAGATTTGGGGATTGGGTTGTTTTGGTGGTTTCCTTTTTTTGGTGGTGCTCTTTTTTTGAAAATAGGAGAAACTTTAAGTAGATTTTAAAAACCATTGCTGCAGTATAACATTGATTTGTCAGAAGTTAGGGAGAGATCCTGAGTATAAAGAAAACAGAAAGAAGTTTAATACTCGGAAAGCATTTTAGAAAATAGCCTTTAAAGTATTCGTTGGTGCCCAATAAGTATCTCTCTAGAAGTATATTCTCATACACAGCTTGAATTTTTCTTTTTTTCAGGAGAAAACTCAGGAAAACTTTATAGAGAAAACAGAAGGGACTTATTTCACTTTGTGTTTTGTCAAATGTAGTTTGAACAGCTGTTTGTAAGGTTAATGCGTAAAATAGTGTTAGATTTGACAGGCTCCTGATCAGTTTTCTTTATTGTATAGCCTGTATTCCAAATATAATTATTTAGATTGTGAATTTGCACCCAAAAAAAAATTTAAAAGCATTTTATTGCTTTTTATATAAGTGTACTTTCATACATATTTGTTTGCAAGTCTATTTGCTCCTGTCTAGTTTGAGATTTAGATTAACTGCTTGTGGTCCTGATCCTCCAGGTGCCTTTGTTCACACATATTTTGTGAGTAGCAGTATTTATATGCTTAAAGGCTTTGCAGTATCGAGACCATGTTTTTGAGTAGTCTTAAGGGCCAGATTATTCCTCTAAATTAAAATGGGAAATACGTGTTAGTCTGATTTAGATTTCACAGATTAGGAAAAAATCAGGTAAAGAGAATATCTTTACTTTTTTTGTAAATTTTTATTTCTTTATAGGAATTCTAATTTGTTGTTGTTATTTACAGGTAGTCCTACAGTTTCTGGTATGTCAGATATGGATTATCCTTTGCAAGGACCAGGTTTGCTGTCAATACCTAATCTCCCAGAGATCAGCTCAGTCCGCAGAGTCCCGCTTCCCCCCGAGCTAGTGGAGCAGTTTGGACGTATCCTGATGAAAAATCTTGTTTTAGGTTGTGTATGTAATAATATTAGAAGTGAACTTTTGTTATTTCATAATTTTTTTTCCTAGAACTTTCCATTGTTCTCCCACAGATGAACCTTGATCTTGCTTGCTTACGTTCCCTTGATAAAGGCTCTAAGTGGTAATAAGGTTCATTTGTGTAGAGCTGCTTGTGGAATTGGTTCCTATAGGAGGAACTCTCAGTGCTTATGGTACACAGTTTGTGGACCACTATCTATAAAATAAGATTAAAATTGTGAAATGTTGAAAAAGAGAGTTTGCATTTGCTAGCCTGCATGCATTTAGTCCTTACATCTGCAGTGCTTCAGATATGCAGTGCAACTGTATGATGGGAGTATTTCCAGAAATCAGCAGAGCTTGGCTAACAATTGACAGTGACATTTTCATGTGGAACTATGAAGATGGGTATGTACACAGCATATTCCTGATGGTATAGTTGATATTATATCTAAATTAAGTGATTGCAATAGTGGAGATTATTTAGCACAGAGGTGTACTTTTCGCTGTAAGGTATCGAATTTCTTTTAGGTTGTACTAAAATTCTTGAATAGTAAGTATTTAAAGACTTTTAATAGTTAGTTACACTGCTGCCAAATCATCTAGAGATGGAAGAAAGGAAAATGCATTTACTTAGACAGACTTATTCAATATCCTGACATTATTGGTGTATTTCTGCTAAGGCTTTGATTATGCCAGAAAAGGTAGAAAAATTGTATCCTACTTGCCCAACTCAGCTAATTAGTTCTAATATGTACGCTAATGCTGTAAAGTGGTCAGTCATTTCCACAGTGCTAAATAAATATGGCCTTGGTACTTTGGCTATATTTTGTAATGGCTTTAAAAGTGTCATGATTGAGGCTGTCATACCTACCTTATTTTAAGGAAGTGTAATACGGAAAATAATTTCATAATCTCTTCCAATGATGATGATATGTTTATGATCATGCTTCCAATGATGATGATATGTTTATGATTTACAGGTTTGTATTTCTTACTTGCCTATATGGTAAGAATTTAGCAGGAATTGCTTTATACAAAGTTCTTGCATTTCTTAGTTAAGATTGTGCCTCACACAGCTCCTTTCCATGTGTTTACGTTGTGTCCCAGTGTGCTAAATACTTTATGCAGATAATACAAAACTTCATACTCTTAAAGATATGGTACTGGAGGAAGAAGTTGGGGTTTTTGTATTTTACAATAGATAAAATTATTCAGGTAAATTTACGTGAAGTATTTTTTGTGTAACAGGCACTATATAAATTCCTCACTCTTGATGTTAATTAGCTGACATATGTTGCGTTATGTAATTCGGAGTGGACTATATGAATTAACAAGAAACAAAAATATAAAGTACAATTGAATTTCAGTTTTAAAACTAGCTCTGGGGGGCTCCAGTGAGCTCAAATGGTTGTCTGCGTAGTTTTACTGTGAAATTTCTGTCATTCCATTCTGCTGGACTTGCTTTCACTCTAAGCAAACGGTGTAGATGGTTTTAAATTGTTACAAGTATTAATAATTTTCAAATGTGCAGAGTCTGGCTTTGTTATTATGTAATACTTGAGTGTTTACGCAGCTTTTTCCTGTATGTTGACAGGGGAGACCTTGCTTATTTTGATGGCCTTAGTGAAACTATTCTTGCAGTGGGTCTTGTGAAGCCAAAAGGAGGTAGGAAATATATGACAGTGACTAGAATTACGCAGTCACTGAACCTGCTTCATATGTGTTTGTGTATGTATATATAAAAATGCTTATATGTTTATATGTATGGTTATGATTTATTTGTAGAACCATTATGAAATTAATTACAATCCAAAAGTAATGTATAATTTAATGATCATTTACGCTGATCAGCTTTTTTTTTTTTTTTTAAAACCACATTCCGGTCTAACATTTCTACTCTTCACAAATTTACGCATTCAAGGGATCTTTCATGAGATCTTGATTTCTAGCCCTTCTAAATACAGAATCACAGAATGGCCAAGA